TATATATATATATATATATATATATATATATATATATATATAAGTATATCCTGCGACAAGAGTCTCATTCTTATTCGTAATAGTTGCAAATTCTTCTATTTTATAAAAAGAAAAAGTAAAAAGAAAGGGTCCAGCAATGAAGAAATTCGAGAAAGGAAATCCTTTGTATGTTGTATCCTTACAATATTATTGTTATTATTCAAGTTTCACCCTTTATAATGGAATGGATATGTACCATCATTCGATTTTTGATACATGAGCAGCGAGATTTAACGGAGGTCTTTGCAGGTACAAAGTTTGTTCGTTTCTTAGGCAGAAGATAAGTTCGGAAGAGAGCAGCATTACCGAAGTGATGACATGGTACACGAGCGTGAACGCGGCTATGTTAGACCATCTAACTAATCAGATCAAAGAAACGGATAATAGCGGAGTTTGGAGGTAAGTTTTTTGATATTGTCTTTGATATAAAAAAAAAAAAGAAAGAAAGAAAGAAAGAAAGAAAGAAAGAAAGAAAAATGATTGGGTAAATATTTCTTTTTTAAAATATTATTATTATTATTATCTTATTTGAGACATTTGAAACGGAAAAGAAGAGAAGATAGTTAACTCCAGTGGATTCGTTTGAGTAAGTCAATTTTTCAGTTAACAGAAAAAGAAAGTTTCCGCAAAAGTGGGATGAAGAGTTGTGAAGCAAGTCGAGTTGCCCATCGAGCTTTCTCTAAAATAAAAATCAATTTCAAACTTCGAGTCAAACTTTTCTTCTCCTTTTTTCTTCCTCATCTCTGAGGATGTATTCACAAGTTATCACAGAACTTATTATTACGTTTAAAAAAATATTCTACGTTCGCGCAAATATGGAAATGTCAGGTATCGTTTCAGGTATTTGATAGCTTTTAAAAATTTACTGAGAAGTATCGAGAGTTTGGGTATTGCTTCCGTGTACGGAATCAATTACTTTGGGCGTGGAATCCTTCTGGGGGACAATTACGTCAGCTATGTTCGCCACGAAGCACTTGGACGTGATCTCCTCAATGGATCTCTCACATACGTGCCTTCTCTCAAGCATTTTTACGCCGAACTCACCCGCACCATGCCAGATTACGGGAGGATTAAATCCAGGTAGGCACAACGATTACGATTATTTAAGAAGAGAAAAATTATTTTATAACGGAGAGAGGAAAAGAAAGGGGGAGAGGAAGGCCTGTTTGGAAAAAGGTTCAAATTTGTGCAAAATGCATGAAAAAAAAAAAAAAAAAAAAAAAGGGAGATAGGTTTGTTCGGAAAACGTGCGTTACAGACGAGATGAAATCCTCCAGAACCGGAAGAGGGAACCGAATGTCGAAGACGCGATCGCTTATTTCGATTCAATGGCGACTTACGTGGACGAACTGCGAAAACTTCAGAAAGAATTACGCCACATGATTAGGTAAATACTCACAATGGTACAACAATTTCTCTGTCGTTGAAATTTTCGAAAAATATATATATTTTTAACAGAGATTATGTGAACTCGACTTTACAAGACGCAAGTAACAAAGAAGCTGCTGGGATAGCTATAGTTGTGCTAGTGTTGGTCGTCTCTCCCATCATTATAATACTAGTGCGTAACGCGGTTGCGACGATTCAAGTAAGTAAATATAATTATTCGATTTTTATTATTTATGTAATTTACTTACTTTCGCAAAAATTAGAAAATTTAATTCAATTTATCAACACATTTGAAAACGTTATTATTTTGTCAATGATATAATTATTTTATTCATTATTCGCAATAATAAGATACCGAAGTTAAAGATTTTTATCGCCATTTTATTTCGTTTTTACTTAATTTATTTAATTTCTATCGCCGTTGGCGACTTGAAATTGAAATCTATTGTGAATTTATATTTTAAATTATCTACTTACCTGGTATTCGATCATAAGAGTATCTTGAAAATTTTAGATGTATGCAGCTAATCTGGCGCAGAAAGCCCGGGAACTGAAACAAGAAAAAGGAAAAAGCGACACATTGCTTTTTCAAATGTTGCCACCCAGCGTTGCTCAACAATTGAAACAAACCCAACAGGTAATTAACAACCAAGCTTTGAAAATATCATTGTATCGTTGATTTCTAATCATTTCCCTTTGTTTCATCCAGGTTCCAGCAGAATATTACGAAGCAGTGACCGTGTATTTTAGCGACATTGTTGGGTTTACAGAAATTGCTGCGGAGAACACTCCCTTAGAAGTAAAATTCTTACATTACATATCTATAACGTAATTCCTGATTTTATTTTTACTTCAAGTGTATATCGCTTAGGTTGTCACCTTCCTGAATTCGATCTACAAATTATTCGATGCCCGCATAGAATGTTACGACGTGTACAAAGTTGAAACTATTGGCGACTCGTACATGGTTGCATCTGGGTTGCCCGTTAGAAACGGTAAAATTCCCATCCCATTCGATCGAGTTGCACAAATTATTAATGTATTTTAATCGAAAGCAATGATTTCGAAGGAGACAAACACGTATCCGAAATAGCAACGATGGCCCTTGATCTCTTGGCAGCTTCGTCTGTGTTTCAAGTACCGAAGCGACCCGGGGAACGGCTTCAAATACGAAGCGGTGCCCATACAGGACCTGTCGTTGCTGGAATTGTGGGCAGCAAGATGCCTCGTTATTGTCTTTTTGGGGATACCGTAAATACGGCTAGTCGTATGGAATCAACGGGAGAAGGTAACCCTTCAACATTCCTACTCATATACATTTTTCATATTTTAATCTTCACTTATTTCATGAAGCCCTGAGAATACATATCAGTCTAGAAATGAAAAAGGCTTTGGATGCTGTGGGAGGTTTCAAAATTGTACGCCGTGGCTTAGTCGACGTTAAGGTAAATAATTTATACACACACACACACACATATATATATATATATATATACAAAATTATGTAAGAAAATTTTTTTTAGGGAAAGGGACTAATGGACACGTATTGGCTGGAATGTAAGGACGGTGGTATCGCTCGTGCGGCGGAATTGGATTTGCCCTCGTTCTTCGAGGACGTGCGACCAGTTTTCATACGTCGTTTACGAGAGGAAGGTACCCTTTGATGCGAACCGTACTCCCGACGGGACCTCTGGTACCTGAACCGACCACCTACTCCTTACATTCGTCTCTCGCAACCTAACCTTATCGACCACTTGAAGAAACCGACCCAAGCTCGTAAAAATCGACTGTCTCACCCAAATCTTCATATTACACCCGTTAAGCCACCCCCTCAATCTCAGTCCAGTATCGAGTCGCAAGACTCTGCGACGTACGAGGGAACTCAATCGACGACACCCTGTCCCCCGAGTTACTCTCCAAGTCAACGCAGTCGTTATTCCCAACCGAATCTACCCACTCTTTTGATATCCCACGAAAAGAGATCCGGAGGTTCGGCCGATCGACGTATTAGGATGTCTCAGCCTACGTTGAACTCCAGCTTCAGCGGCATCAACTTTGCCGGGATGAATCGTAGTTCAAGACTGTCCTACCCGAGCCTTAGGGCAGCTTCCGGGGATAATAGTATTAACGAGGAAGAAAGGTTATCAGCGAGAAGCGTACAAGGTTTCGGCGGAAGTTCGAGAGGAAGTTGGATGGATCAAGGTTCCTCGAGATTGTCGCAATCGGACGTGACACGGTTCGTCTTAAGGCAGGACGTACCAGCGAAACGGGACCGTCTCTCTCAATCTACTCTGGTGATCGGTGATTATCACCCAGGTCGTGGTCAACAGAGATTATCCCAACCTTGCCTAAGTACAGGGAAAGATCTTAATTTGCCAACAATGGTTTTTCACTCACCTTCTCCGCCGTCTGTTAAACACAAGAGATTCTCTCCTGCCATACATGCTAGTCAGAGAGAACGACTTTCGCAATTAGATATTGGTGCTAAGTATAGAAACTTCAAAGAATCGGCCGCGACGAAATTTAACAGGGATAGGTTTTCAATACCCGAACTGGAAACGCAAAATGATCTTAAGTTATTGATAGCTGGGACACCGAAGCAGAGGTTTAGTTTAGATAGCCAATTGACGCGTAATCAAGATGTAACTCGGTCTAGATTGTTGCCAATAGCTAGTTCACCTATCAATGAACACCAGCAAAGCAAGATCGAAGAGCAGACAGGAGGAATCCCAGGAGGTAAACTTAAAAGCCCCACCAGAGAAGGCCTTGGAAGTGTGCTCGTGGCAAGTACAACTCCAATATTACCACCGAATGAAAGAGAATTGTTGTCAACCGAGTTAAGTAGAATAACAACTGCGGTTGTTAATTCGACAACGCAACAGAAGGATCAAACGACACTTAGGGCGAGCAAACTTCATAGATCAGTTTCACCTATTCCTACTAGGGAAAGAATGTCAGTGCCTGAAATAAGAAATTCGAGTCTACGCCGATTGCTTGACCCGCCAATGAGGCAAAGACACAGTATTACGGGCAATTTAAGACAGAGTATAATCCTTCCAATTAAGCCTCTCGATTTTGGCAGGAAATCGCCGAAGCATTTGTTCGAAGAAGCCCTGGAAAGATTTCGAAAGGATGAAAAAGAAGAAAATCGAAAGAACGAAATTTCAAATTCGGAAACTCTTGTCGATATCGTCGATGAACCTAAACATATTCAAAAACATTACTCGTACACGTATGAAAGTACCGATGACAGTTCCTCGATATTTGGAAAGATAAGCATGTCTGCGATACCAAAGAAGAAATATTTAGAAAGTAATTTTGATGAGAATGAACAAGTAATTACTACAGTGATCGAGACGGACGTACCAATGATAATGGCCAATCCAAAGTATGTAAAAAAATCATCTTATTCGAGCGAAACCCCAAAATGGATTAGAAAATATTTAGAAAGCGAAAGTCCGAAAGTAGGAAGAAAGATGGCAAGCAACAAGGAGAAAACTAACAGAAGGAATAGTCGGAGGAAAAGCTCTTTGGAATCGATGGAAAGCGAGAAAATTACAGACAAAGTTCGTTCGAAATCGGTGAGCAGCGGTGAAAGGAGTCCAATGCTAAGAAACACCGGTATACAATCCGAATTGAAAAATATGAAGAATACATACGTAAGAATTGTTCCTTCGAATAAAACTCAAGAAAACAGATATGAAGTAAAGATAGAGAATAATTGGATCGATGGAAATATTCACGGACTATATGGTGATGAATGTGAGGATACGGATTCCGATGATTCCACGTCCATTTAAATTAAACTAACGATACTAATCGAATAGATGAAACAAAGAAATTTTGTCCAATTAATTTATAATGATATTTGTAAATTGGTGAGAGATTGGTGAAAGAAAAAATTCATATTGTGTACTTAAAGCATAAAATGCTACGAATTTTATGAAAATTGATATTTTCTAGTTACCAGTCAAGGATATGTATTAGATAACAGTTTGATTAGCCTAAAGCACATCTTGGAAACGAAATAACGAAAACTGATATGTCCGATCCCAATTTTATTTTTCTCATATTATCATATTTGTAATGATCTTTAGATCTCAATGTATTATTTTCATTCAAACGAGAAATTTTATTTTTATTAAAATAAAATTAAAACAATTTGTAAATATTTGAATTAATTCTGTTATACTTATTGCTACATATAGTTAAGAAATTCTTAGTAAAATTCAGGACATGGTTTGGTATTTTATTGTCACTATTATTCGTAATTCGTATTTAAAATATAAAAATTTTTTAATGCTTGCTGTGAATGAAAGAAAATTTATCAGAGAAAATAGTCTAACTAGCTATCACATCAAAAACTACATAAACTGTATGAAATGTTCATTTTCTTGTCAACATACCACCAACACTCCTACAATTATATATATATATATTTATAGTACGAGTATCGAGAAATTTATATTTTTTTTCTATGCTAGTCATCAATGAGATTCGTGTGAATTTCATCTCAAATTCCTATTATATATATAACGAAATATTTGCCTCATAAAAATATTCCAAAAAATTTGTATTTCGCTTGAACATTACACAATTATATTGATATGTATTACAATGTTACGATATTATAACAGCATAACGCAATCGATGTAACGTTATAATATCTTAAACTCAGTATGAATGTAATATAATACGGTCATGAATGTGAAACTTATCGTGAAAGTTATCGTTAATCATAAAATTGTTAGTCCTTTATATGTCATTTAATATATGATTAAAGATGTTATATCAAAGATATAATCAAAGGGAAAAGTATATAAAATGTATTTAATTTTTAAGAAATATGAGATCTTTGCATACTTTAAATCTCGTTAAAAATTAATTTTTATCAAATGGAAAAATGATTCAAATTCATAAGTTTTAAAATAATTTATAATTTTTTTTTTTTTAAACTTGAAAAATACATGCAAGAAATTTTACCTGAATTATATAATAAATATGCACCATAGATTTGCAAAACATAACGCACTTTAAATTTACATATCTTGAACATAATATATTATGAACATAGTATATCTAAATTTTAATCGTTATATCATGATCATTTAATTACTTTTTAAAAAGTTCCACTATTGACGAAAATTATATGTGATGAACAAATAAGAGCAACTCGTAGAAATATATTTAAAATAGTAAATGTAAGAACTATCAGATAATTACTTTGTTACGAAGACGGTGTTCTTTTAGGCACGGCATAGAACAGAAACGATTGGAATTATATTCGAAAGGCACCTGACCTGCCATATCCACACCACATTGAAAACATCGTGAAATTATACTGCAACCTTGTTTTAAAATGCGTTGTTCTGCAGCCAATGCTCTCTGTAATAGAAATTCATACTATTTAATGATTCAATTTATCAATACAATATTTATAGATTTCATAATTATTTTTTAAAATATATACTTTTTCTCTATCACTGAGACAAAGATATCTTTGTTTTGCATCTTCTTCTTGCTTTTTAAGTTCAAATTCTTTTCTCTTCAATTTATCTTTTTCTCGCTTTATTTTTCTTTGTTGTCTTTTTTTTTCTGATTCTTCTTGTTCTATTTCATCAGTAAGTGGTCCAGGTATTTGAGACTTTATAATAGATATATGTATCAGTTTATAATAGTAATAAATAAAAATAATTTTAATAAATAAAAAAAAATAAATAAGAAATACCTTGCTATAATTAAATTTATCGGGATTAGCACCCATAAATCTTCTAAATATATTTCTAGTTTCCTTATCATTCGCCGCTGCATATGGTGTTTGTAATTTCTTATTTTTATTACAAGGATCTGATCCAATTTCCAATAATTGCCTAAAATCGAATAACTAGATAAATGTTCTAAAATAAAACAAAAAAAAGTTAGGCTAACATTGATATACCACACTAATTTTAAGTGTCCACCCAAGGCTGCTAAATGTAGCAATGTATTACCATCTTCATTGGAATCATTTACCAATTTTGTTATATCATCTTTATTTATAATTGAATGAGAACTTATAGTTACATCTTCTTTATTTTGTTCTTCTAATTCAAAACTTTTTTCTACTTGAATTAATAGATCTTTAATAACAGATGTCAGTAATTCATTATCACCTAATTTACATGCAGACCATAATTTAACTTTAGCATTGGCCAAGATTTCATTCATTACACATTCTGGAAAAATATATTTTAATAAATATAAAAAATATAATTAAAAGAATATAATAATAATTCACCATCTTTTTTTGTCTTTTTCTTCTGTCGACGAGATTTTTTATTCTTCATATATCTTGGTACAGTATCTTGAAAAGCGAGTAAATTTTCATGAAATTCTACTTCTAATTCTTGTTGAATTAATGAAACATCCATTGGAATATTAGCAGTGTTTATTTGATTATCCAATTCTTCAACTTTATCCAATTCTGATTCTGAAGATGATTGTGCTAACTTAGCAACTATATCTGAAAGATAAAATCATAAATAATAATTTATTTTTATATTAATTATGTATAATTATATCTATTAAATATTTATAACGATATTTTAAATTTTATACCAGGTAAAGGACGGCATGGACTTTTTCTTGGTTTTGCTCTATCTATATAAGATCGAGAATTTCTATGTTGTCTTTCAGGAGATGGTTGAGCAGGAACTTTATTTTTGTCATTATCTTGTGTATTACGGATATTACTGGAAGTATTAGAATCATTTTCTTCATTTTCTGTTTTTATTGGAATTTCGCCAGAAACATCAATTTTTGATAATTTTTTCCTAAGAGGTTGACGAGGTGAAATAGGAAAAGAATCTGTAAAATCAGCTGCAGAACCTATAATATATAGCATTAATAAAGTAAATATAAACATATTGAAATATTTAGAATCAATATTAATATTATACCATAAATTTCCATTGTACTTAATATGTCATACACTCTTTTAACTTCACTGAATGTTGCTCTACGAGTAGGAAAAGGTAATGGTCTTAATCTTAAGTCATTCTTATCTAAAGGTGGATTTTTTCCTCCAAATAATACAGTTCGATTATATGGACCAACAGCTCTATATAAAATTAGAGAGGAATTATTAATATAAGATGACCATGATTCAAGTATATCTTGTACATGCTGAAAAAAAAAAAGATTAATAAATATAGCATGAAAATAATTCTTATTTAAATTTATAAACTAAATACCTGAAGAAGAGATGCTTCATTATAACGACGTAAACTAGCTCCAGCACTTTTTGCATGATTAGCTGTTGTACGTGAACTTTGGGCAAAGCCTTGTTTTGCTCGTACAGTATAGGAATGAAATGTTTTATGTACAATGGGTTCTCCGTCTAAAATACAAAAATATATTGATAATATTCATAATAATACAGAATATTTTCTTAGATATTAATATTAATACCTTGAAATACAGCTGCAGCAAAATGTCCTCCACCAATCATGATAACAGTCCATGTCGTTTTCCTCCCACTGTCCAATGCCTGAGCAATCATCTCATTGTCTACTTCTGGAATTTCCTAAAATGTAATTGCATCTCTCCTGATCTGGCAAGTATAGACACGCCAAGTGATTCTAATAAAGTAGATTAAATTACAAGATAAAATCATAGACAAGTATGTCTATACTCAGAGAAAGTTACTTACAAAACTATATCTCTATTACTATAAATGAACAGACCTTTTTATTATGAAGTAAACACCTGTATATACTAAATATATTTCCATCATCATTTTCAAAAAAAACTTTTGAATGACGACTTGCAGTGACCAATAAATCTTCAGTTTTTTTCTCTTTTATAATATCATCACAACATTCTGTATCAGAACTATCAGAAATTGATTCCATATTTTTTCCTTTTTTCTCAATTTTCTTATTCTTATTAATAAGATTTCTATTTTCACAATGTCCACTAGGTAAAATTCCAGTTTCAGAAACATATGTTTCATCTTCATTTTCAGAATCTACATCACTACCAGATAAACTTGAAACATTACCTATAATATTAATAATATGATATTTTTCATATTGAATATGATAATTTTATCGTGATAATTTTTATCACGAAATTAATAATTTTAATACCTTCATCAGCAAGAAGGCTAAATTTATCTTCATTTATAGGTTTTAATCCATTTAAACGCTGTTTCAAATTATATCGATGCCAATCTAACTTATAATGAAGTCTTTGTTGTGCTTTATCTTCAAATATAGTATTACAAAATGAACAACTTAAAGAATCGGATACAACTAAATCATCAAGTTGATTCAACAATTTCTCATTTTCTGAAACTAATATAAAAATATATAAAAAATATTTTAGTTTCATTTTATAAATTTTCATAATAAAAATAAGATATTATTTTTAAATATCATTCTCGACTTTAAAAAAATAAGATATTGTAACCTCAAATATATGTTTTCTGTATGTTAAAAGTTGTAAATTTATTAATTTAAATGACGTAATGAAACGATAAATAAATAAAATAATTAAAATTTGATAAATGTTCTTAATTTTAAAAAATATGAAAGTAATAATTTTAGAAGTAGAATCATTCAAATATGAACATAAATTCATATTAAATAACATTTTAATAAAAATGAATATTCTACATATAATTACCAGATGACGATCGTGATTGCATGCATTGTGCTACTTTAATTCCTTTTGTAATTCTATTAAAGTCTTCTTGATTGTATATTTTAAATATGTGATGATCCATCATTCACGTTATATTTTAACTAAAAAGATTGTATGAAGCTGAAAAAATAAGATGTAATCATTTCAAGTAAAATAATAAAATTTTAATTGAAAAATTAAAAGTGAAATATTTATTTAATAATGAAATAGAAAATTCTAATATTATTTTATACTAACTTTTTCACGTATATGTATGTAAAAACACTTTTGATAATTAAATAGATGTCAGAATCGAATAGCATCTACTTGACAATCCCATGCAAATCAGAAACAATTTATATTATACGTTAATATTAGTTTTTTTATTGAAAAAAAATATAAATAATTTTATTAAAATAAAATTCTAAAGTTATAATAAACAATATATGCACTTTCGATTTTAAATATATTTCATTAATCACATCACATACAGTTATATTTTAACTCAGTTCTGATACAAAATTACATCATCAAATATATTATCGCAGATGGAAACAAAGTACTAATAAAAAGAGATGAAGAATCAAAGAATAGATCTATCATTCAATACATTTTTTTTTAAATTGGATCAAAAAGACTCTAATCAGATTCTTCAATAGGTTAGGTAAAAAAGACAATAAAATTAATGAAATATAGAAACTGTTTTTTGAATATTTAGTATAAATTTAGTATAAATTTTACAGATTGAATATAGATAAAAAAGTATATATAGATAAAGATAATAGAGAAAGAAGGACAGAAATAGATTAAAAATTGTAAAACGCCATCTTTAGAGTGCTGAAATAAAATTTACATAGACAAGGATAATAAATAATAGGAAAAGAATAGAAATAAAATAAAATTAACTATTAGTGTTATTATTTAAGAAACAATGACATTTTTTTAAAAACAAGATAGAATAAAAAATAATAATCTGCGCCATCTCTCATGATATTTAAGAGATATTCAAAAATTTTAAATTCTTATCTTTATTTTATGTTGCTTTTGAAAAGATTTTTGGTATTCAAAAGATGGCATTGATGGTTCATTCTTACTCTATATATCTTTTGCCTACGAGTTTTATTTACAATATTTTTCTTATGCAATGGCACTAAATTCTATATCTTAATTCTAT